TAAAACTTAGCAAAAACTGTTTTGTATGAGAATAATTTTCTTCCTCAGTATTTTAAATAGAATCATCAGAATTCAATGAGACATAGGTAAGAATTTTATTTGTGTTGTTGCGTGGTTATTTTTCTGATAACATAAATACAATCAAAATTATCAGCATAAGAAAATACATTTCATATTGTATGTTTGTAAGAAGGAGACAACACATGCGGTTGTGGCGTCCTATTAATTGTTAATAGATATTAGATTACTATTTTAGTATTCTAAAATACATTTATCCCATTCTTCTAATGACAACTTTGACTCTATAGCACTGTTTCCCTAACTGTAATCTGCAGACCCCTGGTTGTCCTTGAATGTAAATTAAATATTAAAAATACACAAAGTACCTATCTTTAAAACRAAAATGTCATATTTGTATTACATGAAAAATAAATAATGGATTATATATATATTGTCGAAATAGTTATTGCTGAAAAGTAATTTTTTTTTTAAGATTCATCCGCTATCATTTTCATTTTTCTAAGAGGTGTGACATATAAAAAGTTTGGAAAAGGCTGATCTATAGTACTAAAATTATAAAAAACATTTAATCATCTTGATAACAAATTGATTCTAATGTTTGTAAAATATGTTTTTAACACTAAAATAATTATAATATTAATATAGGTGATTAAAAAAAAAAAATGCTATGTATTTCTTATATTATTTTAGATATAATCTGAAAATTATGTTTTGTAATATTTACAGAGATGCCATGAACAAAATGTTAAATGATAAAGAAATATTGGAAAGAAAACATCAATTTAAGATTAATATTTTAATTGAAGGTAAGTTATCGTTGAAAAAATTAATATTCTACTTTTAGCAAATATTGTATATTATGTAATTATAGAATATAGATATTAAAATTTTTGTTTTAAGTTTGTAGTAGTATTAAACATGTTTAAGAAAAGTTAAGATTTCTAATATAATTTTCATTATTAAACTCAAATTTTAATTTATAAATTGTGTATGAAAAACATTTTAACGATTTTTTTGTTTATATGATCATATGAAAATTAGCTTTTAATAGCTTTTTACAAATAAACATGGATGGTATATTAAATTTTATTAAGTTTTTGAAGAAGCAGAATCCACTAGTTACAGTTATATTAATTTTCTATTGCTGTGTATAACATTGTAATTAATAATTATGTATGTAAAAATRTATCTTATTGTATTTTTTATTAATTACAGATGACAAATTACCCGAGTTAAATAATACTACTGTATTTGAGTTTGGAAATAAGGAAGTACTGCTAAATTCTATCAACACACTGATCATAGCTATTAAACAAGAAATTTCTAGTCCCGAKATAATGGATAGATTATTCTTATTAGTAAACTCAATACATAGTTGTGCTGGTAAACATTTCAAAGGAAGTAAAACATATGCTTTTGGATCACGTATGTCAGGTCTTGCACTTAAAGATAGTGACGTGGATTTATACTTTGATATTGGTAAAATTAATAGTTTATTTTAATCTATAAGTATATAAATGATTAAAGTATAATTTATTTGTTTATGGGTTAATATATTAATTTTCAAAAGACTTTTGATGAAGTAAATTATGTGTTGTAAAGTTGTAATAACTTAAACATTTATGAATTTGGTCGACATAGTTAATAGATTTGTGTTTATATTTTATCAAAGAAAATCAAATAGTTWAAAAAATATTTTAATTATTTTAATGTATATTAAGTTCTCTTCAGTTATCATTTTATGAAATACATCGACAAAATTGTAGGAAAACTTAACGACAGGGTCAAAGAAAATTTATAGGAGTAATTCATTTTTCTGAAGGGCTAACCGGCTAAATACAGTTCCTGGTCTTGGATTTTTTTTCTTTCTTGTCTTGTTTGTCAATGTTATAATCGAAGAAAAATGTTGTACCAAATATCACAAAACTTAAATTTAATTTTAAAATAGCTGTTAGAAGAAGTGACTATTTTAGATTCAGACTAGAGCAATGAATGTATTGACTTAACAATGATACAAGTTTTTTGTCCTCACACCTTTAAGAACACTAAAATTAGTTTGATTTTTAAAATTAAAGTTGATTTTAGTTGCTCATTAGATCTAATTAGTACTTTGGTTATGGTGGGGAAAGGGCTTAACCTAAATTATTTTTGTATTTGTATTATTATCATTTTTAAAGTTATTTGACTGAAACATTTTTATTTTGATATGTAATACACTTTATTAAAGAGCTTATGCTCATTGATAATTATGATAAATAAATAAACTTTTAAATTAATTTAACTACAAATCTAATTTGTTGGAAATTATTAAATATAAATAGTCTAATTTTTAATTTAATTCCATAGCCGGCACTTTTAGCGGAGAATTAAGTAATGATCTATATGCCCAAGAAGATCTAGTACGTTATTTTGGAAAAGTATTTCGGTCTCAAAATAATGAATATAAACATATACAACAAATAACTGGAGCACGTGTACCCATAGTCAAATTTTTACATGTCCCTTCTGGCTTATATTGTGACTTGTCTTTCAAAAGTGGTCTTAGTACACATAACACAAAATTAGTCAGGTAAATTATATATAATTATTATTGAATTCATTAATAAAATATTGTTATCAACTTATATTTTACGATCCAGATTATACTTAGCATTGGATGAACGTGTTCACTGGGTTGTTTGTGCAGTTGTTAAACGTTGGGCATTACAAAATGATATGAAAAATCAAAGTATGTTTACCAGTTATGCTTTAGCATGGTTGGTCCTCTTTTACTTGATGACTATTCAAGTCGTACCTCCATTAATATTTCTTAGAAAACATGCAGATTATTCAAATGATCCATGTAGATCAGATGTTATATTTATAGAAGGTAAATTATTTTTTTTTAATCAGAATTATTCAATTGTTAACCTGTGTTAAAACTTAAAATTGTAACTAAATATTATTAATTATGCTTAAAAAACTGGTTTTATTTTATATATTATTATACATAATAGTATATTACAAATAAATAAATAACAAAAATTGACATGTGATTTTTTTTTTAGATTGGGACTGTACTTTCTGCACTCTAGAAAAAGCCAAACAAATATGGAAAGTACCAGAGGTCCCATGTTGGGACTTATTATTTGGATTTTTTAAATTTTATTCAGACTCTACCAAACTTCGACAATTTGTTTTTAGTCCAGCTATTGGAAATGCAATACCTAAAGCCAATTTTTATGATATTCCAAAGACAAACCCAGAATTATTAGGTTTTAACAAAAAAAGAAAAGGTAAACCGACTGACTGGTGTATACGATTAAGAGATAACTTTCACGGTGATGGTCTTGCAGTACAAGATCCTTTTGATCTTTTTCACAATATAACAAAAGTTATAATACCTAGAAAGTTACAAACCTTCTCTTATTTATGCAATAAAACCATGGAAGTTATGAAAAATGGAGTACAACCTTACTATGCTTAAATATTGTGGGACAATTTTTTTTTTTAATCAGATTCAAAATAAATAATTTTTAAATGAGATTTATTTTGATAATTTAAACCTGTTTTAGTTTATTAAATAAATTAATATTTAATGAAAATGACATAAAACGTCAATTACTAGTTATATATATACTTTTTTGTACTTTTGGTTGTTAGAGTACTAATATTATTTCAGTAATTTTAACTTCAGCTATTATACAAAGTGATTTATTATTTTATTATATCTATTACCTTACTTAAAATTTTAATTTTCTGTATAACAAGAACTCTAAATTTATAAATAGAACAAAAAAATTATATTTTATTGGTTGACTGGATTAAATACTAATTGTATTATTTATTCATTACTTCAGTCTTAAATATTCTCAAGCGGACGTACTTTATTTTTAGTATCATTAATTATATACATTTATAAAAAGAAAAAATATTTATAATTTACTTCTATTATAGAATCATAGAATTTATTTTTATATTAATATATTAAGTGAATTTTTAATAATTTTTTTCATTGGTCTGTATTGTATTTTTGTTTATCACTTACATCTTAATTTGTAAATCATTTTGTTATAATGGCATTATTTAATTAAGTAATAATGATTAAAWTATTAAAAATGTATTACATTTAATTATTGTAGGTCAATGAAAGTGTACTAACAAGTTGCGTTAATTTTCTTTGGGGTAATTATCTGATAAATAATACAAATTAAATCCAATTGAAGGGATTTGGACCTATTCTTTATGCTATTTTAAAAACATCTAAGATATTGAAAAAAAAAAATAGATGGGGGGCAAGAGCGCAAGCTAAATTTGATTAAAAGAATAACGCAATTTGTAGTTACTAATGATAAAGTCTTAATATTGTAGACTTCTTGAAAAGACCTATTTTATTATATTTATTCTATTTGTATTTTAGAATAATTACATTATACCATGTGTATTAATTATATTTCAACACAATATATTAATTTTTTCTGGTGCGATCAAATTCTATAATTTTATTTCATATTAGCTAATACAATTTTAACTTATATTCAGCTTTAGAAAATTATAATAGTAGTGGTGATATTACAAGGTATTATTATTATATATTTTGTGAATACCTAGAATTTTTTTTCTGAAAGTTACTTCTTGATTTTCTAGTATTGAATATACATAAATATATTGATTTCTTTCGAGTGGTTGCAAAAAAAAAAGAAATTTTGTCAAAAAATTAATATTAGGTCAAACATTAAAGAAAATTGATTTTTGTATAATTTAAAAGTAATATAATTATCGGACATCACTGAATTTTTAAGAAATTTTAATTTATAGAAAGTATAAGTATTTTAAGATCTTCTAACAATTTATAATAAAATACTCATAAAATCACAGATTCTTAAATAACACGATTTGAGTTCCTAGCAACAATTGATATTAGTAGGGGAGTATTTAGAGAAATTTTGTAAAAAAAAAAAGAATGTTTTATTATTTAAATGACATGCTAAAAAAATGTAACCTTAAAAATACAATACATAGAAATCATCATAAATATTGAGTCATTTATTATAAAAAATTATCATCAGATTCGCACAAAAGAAACTGTGTGATATACAATTATTACTCATATCAAAATTAAAATGGAATTTGATTAACATTGTAATATTAATATTTATTCATTATCCTCTAGATTAAATGTAACATGTTGAGCCAATCTTTTTTCTGCTTTTTTAATTAGCTTTTCACGACCTCGTGGTTTTTTAGTTTCTTTTTGCTTGGTACATTTAATTTCTCTATCTCTTAAAATTTTATTCCAATACAGCTTTTCTTCTTCGCCTATTCCAAAATCATATAAGTTTTATATAATTAAAATATCAAGTGAATATTTACCAGTTAATAATCTAGTTTGAGGCCATCGGTTTTCTTCTGCTATTTTTTGAGCAGTTTCTTGACAATCGCATCGTACATAAGCTTCAGAATTGTGTACAACATCAACAAACTTTACACTTGGATCAATTTTTGCTTCAGCCTTAAATATTAATAACAAGAAAGATAAAATAATGAATTTTTTTTTGATCAAGTTTCAAAATTAAATATGATATTTATTATTATAGCATTGGGAATTTCAAATACCATAATCTCAACAGGATTCAATGAAAATAAAATATGAATATTGATGTAATCCAACATTTAAATGTTGAGTTTTATTATTTTATTGTTTAATATCAGATGCAAATACTGATTTAAAAAGTTAAAAGATACTATGAAACAGTCAACAAATTATCAGATTAAAGACATAACATATTGTTATAAAACCTGTTCAATGATGGAATAAAGAACATCAATAAGTAACTAAAAATTATAAAATATATAACAATCACAATTAATATACATTAAAAAACAGGCAGCAAAAACGTGAACAAAAATTTAGGGTTTTGTCTGAAAGCAGTTTCAATTTTTTTTAGGATATGGGTTTCGTKTTTGAAAATGGTTTTAAATTTTTTCAAGTTTCAGGTCTGAAAAACTGTTTTGAATTATGCTATTATTGGAAATATTAAGTTTTTAAGAAGATATAATATTTCTTTTTGAATCAAAAGCAACTTAAATATGTAAAAAGCATTTTTTAGTATTCAGTATTTTAAGAATGAAAAACGAATAGAAATAT